AGAACTGTTTTAAACCTATGGCATAGACAAAATGCAAATGACATCTTTATATCCACTAACAGAAGGCATGATAGAGGGGTTTAATCAAACCACCCTTAAGAACCTCTCGCTGATGATCTCTAGAAACCAAGACTGGGAGCAGAAGTAACCTTCGTTATTATTGGCCTGTCTCAGTGCTGCCTAAGAGACTATTGGCTATTCCCCATCCCAGATGCTCTTCCTTGAGACCTTCGTCTGCCTTGTGATTTGCTGTTTTGGCTGCCCTCTAAATGGGCCTTTCATTGCTTAAAGAGCACAATTAGAATCTCCAGGCATGGTTTGAAGTAATGCACAGATTTGCACAAGAGCAAGTCAACTTGGCGATGAAGACCCAATACAACATAAGAGCTACAGGACATTGATTCAACGAAGATGACAGGATGTGGTTATGGAATCTGATTCGATGGAAAGGACTCTCTCCTAAACTACAGTCACCATGGGATGGTTCTTACAGTTATGCTATTACATTCCAGTCGCTCTCCCTTGGAACCTTTGTCTGCCTTGTAATCAGCTCTATGGCTGCCCTCTGAATGGGCCTTTCATCACCTAAGGAGCACAATCAGAATCTCCAGGCATGGTTTAAAGTGATGCACAAATTTGCACGAGAGCAAGTCAACTTGCCGATGCAGATCCAATACAACCTGAGAGCTACAGGGCATTGATTCAAAGGTGACAAGGTGTGGGTACGGAATCCGACTCGCAGGAAAGGACTTTCTCCTAAACTACAGTCACCATGGGATGGTCTTCACACACTTATAAACAAGCTGAACGACATCATATTTCAGATCCATAAGTCATCAAATTCTAAGCCTAAAGTTGTTCATTATGATAAGCTAGCCCCTTACTATGGCCATAGTATGTAGTCCCCATTGTGTATATAATATACAGTACAAAGTCTTTAATCTGGACTTGTCGGGACTTTGGCGATTCCGGATTATAGATCATCAATTTAAATCTGGTAAGATGGCATGCAGAAATTATACAATTAAAAATATGAAACCGTAATTTATGAAATAAAGAGCAATTATGATCTAAAGGGCATCAAAATTTACAAAAAAAAAAAAAAGCTTAATATTTATTTGTTTACTTTATTAAACATTTCTTTCAATGAGCGCATGCATAAAGCATACATTACGCATAGTCAAAATTAGAAAATTTCAACCAGAAAATTATTTGATGTGTATTCGTGATATTTATAATGACGAGGAAATTGATTTAAATCATATCGGAGTACATCGAGATGAAACACTACATTTAGTAAGGAATTATAAGCCGAATAAAAAATATCTGCCCTGTAGATGAGGATAGTGCTGACGGATCAACTTCCAGTTCATTGCGTGCTGCGATGTCCCCCCTCCCGGCAGAGCAGCGTGAAATTCTTAAACAGATTTCGAAATGGTTAGAGAAACAAATCACCTCTCTGTCACTTTCTTTATGCCTTTATCCATTTTTTGCAGCAATTCCACTTTTTGTTTAATGGACATCGAAACGCATTTTCGCTTTGTAGATCCTTTGCCAGCTCCAGAATTGGAAGCTCTTTTTGACATAATCGAAAGTTCAAGCTTACTTTTTATAAAATTATTAAGACTTTATACTGTACTAAGACCATGGTCCTATTTATTTCTAAATTCTTAAGTTTGTGCATTCATTTACTGATTTAGTATTTGATTTCTTTTATGCTATTTACTGAAATCACTATTTAAGTACTACATTGATTTTCCATAGTTGTAAACATAAAAATTTGTAATTTCATGCATTTAGTTATTGATTTGGCATCTGATTTGTTGTAAGTTATTCATTGAAAGTACTTTAGTATTGTATTGATTTTCCTTAGCTGTAAATACGGCTCCCTGACCAGAGATTGTACTGTCTGGGACGTTCAGTCCTTGGGAAGGACTTACGTAACTAGATAATTTTAGTGAAATTTAAAGATCTCTTGTATAATGTAACATGAAAGGCCTCAAGAGTGTGAAGTGCCACCGGAAAACTAGGGTTTCAGGGAAAAGTCTGTTTAACCCCCGAGCACACACGCCGGAAATGGTCGAAACCTTTTGTAGATGAATTCAAGGACACATTCTTGAAGCTGGGAAGTCCGTGGAATGATAATTCGAATACTTTTCTAGGAATAGTACCGCTGGGCTATGCGACACCCTGGCGTCTAAGATTTTCATCTTCACTCCCTTAGTTAGTCAGCATGGTGCTGCATCTAAATTATGATAAAGAAATTGAAAAATATGTTAGAAACCATTTCAACAGACGACAAATTGTTTAGAAAAGCGGAAGAATACAACAGCAATCATAATTCATCAGCAGACAGTGATACAGACACTGAATTAGAAAATGAATCAAATGATGAAAATTATGTTGGTAAAAATGGCCTGATATGGAAGAAAAACAAATTCTGAATGAATGTTAGGAGTTAGGACTAATTCTAAAAACATTATCTTCAAAATTCCAGGAAATACAGATTATTCAAAAGATGCATCAACAACGTTGGATTCCTGGTCTCCGCTCATCGACAAAGACATAATAGAAATGATGTATGTTAGAAACATCATTTCTAACATACATCACTCCTGAATAGAATCAATGTACAAATATTTACACTGATTCTATTCAGGAGCATTTTGTACATGGGTGCGATGCAAAGAAAACAGATGAATGCGAAATCAAAGCACTTTTGGGATTATTGTATATATATGGTATTTGTTCACAAATCCTCTCATGTCAATGTAAAAGATCTGTGGGCAACAGATGGAACTGGAATGGACATTTTCCACAAAACAATGTCTATGAGCGATTCCTTTTCCTACTAAAATGCCTTCAGTTTCATGATATCCGAGATTGTCCAAGTAGAAGAGCTGTGGATAAACTTACTCTCATAAGAGATTTTTTGAAAAATTCATTGAGAACTAAACTGTAGGTAAATATATAACAACTGCAGAAAAATTAGAACAATTCAGGGGACAATGTTTATTTAGGCAATACATACTTAACACACCTGCATAAAAATATTTGCACTGGCTGATTCCAGCGTGTTTTTATACATGGAAAATGGAAATATATGCCGGCTAACAGCCAATGGGGCAGTTTCAGTTTGATAACAATGCAAGTAAAGCATTTGATAGAACTATTGTACAATTCTGGACAGAATTTGACTGTAGATAATTGGTATATGAAATAGTAGCTATCTTAGGACTTACTACGGAAGAAAATAACTATAGTTGGAACTTTGAAAAAGAATAAGAGAGAAATTCCATCGGATTTTCTAACGAAGAAGTGGCAAGAATATTCGATACTTTTCCGTTTTTTGCCAGCGCAGGCGATAAAATCGCCAAAAATGGTACAAACGATGCCAAACGGAATATCCTCGCTGATAACCTTTTACACCTCATTTTCAAAACAAGTTGCAAACATTTCTTATTGTTTCTTTCAATACTGGCATAAAAATACATAGAATTTTTATCAGATAGTTCAATTTTATGCCCTATGGCCATTCACGGTAATTAAGTCAATTAGGATGCAATCATACCACTCATCCGAAGGCGAAAATACAAAAAAAAAAAAAAAAAAAAAAAGCAAAGGGGTTGAATTCATCAATTCTAATGCGAATGCACTACCGAAGTAAAGCACTGCGGTTTTACATAATTTCTGAATAAGCTATTCGTACGAATAAAAATTATTCTTGCATTTAAATTTCTATTCCATATTAAGATTTAACTTGAAATTAATGTAGAATAAACTAATAACTGGATAACTTGAATTTAATGAGAGAATTAGATTCCTGTAGCATAGTTTACATGAGATGAGATCACTTGGAGTCTTTGGAGTCGTGATATGAAACGACAAATCAGAATACTGTACCATGAAAGCATAGTAAATTCTTAAATTAATTTCGTTTTACAAATTTATTGTCTTTATGTATTGCCTTTTTATAAATTTTAAACAATATTAAAATGTTTATGCCTTCAAAATAAAAAATCCTTAGAATTAACATTTGTTAACATGTTTTATGTGTATACCATGTGTTGTCGCCAATAAAGACTGCTTGGCGAGATTTGCGCCGGTGAAATGGAAAAGTACCGCTTATTCTTCAATTTTTTGTTTCCAGAAAGAAACATGTTTCTTATGTACCAAGGAAAAAAGAAGTGTTGTTCAATTATCAACTATGCACAACGATAATAAAATTGACAAAAGCACTGGAGTACTAAAAAAGCTGAAGATTATTTCATTTTATAATCTAAGAGGAGGAGCAGATGTTGTAGATGAAATGGGAGCAGCATATTCTACAGCTAGAGTATCGAAATGGTGGCTTATGGCAATTTTTTCCTCACTTTTAAATGTTCCAGCAATTAACGCACAAATAATCTTACTTTCTAAAAATAAACCACTGTTTAGAAACAGGGGTTCTTTTCTCAAATCATTAGGACTGAAGTTAGTGGAAGATTACACAAATCAATGGTGGCAGCAAATCATGCTTTCTTTGAAACTAGAAGGAAAAATAATTCAGGAGATTGCAACATGGAACCACCATCTAAAAACACAAAGCATATTCATAGAAGATGCGCCGAGTGCCCTAAAAACAAGGACAGAAAGACACAGTTTCTGTGTGAGAAATGTAATAGCAGTATTTGTATGAAGCATATGTGTTCAATCTGCCAGAGATGTGCAAAATAATCGTAAGTATTTCATTTATTATATTCTTTAAAATATTCTAAGGTCCATTCTTTTTTATGTTAATCTATATTTATATAATTAATGCAATTAAAAATGTGTTAATTGCTTTCGGGTATAACATACCCAGCACACCTTCTCGTGTTCGGAATTCTGGCGAGCGTGCGCGCAGGTTAACTTTGAGGGAAATGGCTAACTCATCATAATGGAGAGAGCACTAAGCTGGTGGTGATTTTGGAGACTTTGTGTTACCAAATTTGCCAAGATATCCCCAAAGTCACCAAACTTGATGACCATTTGGCAACATTATGATCTGGTTACTGTATAACTAACTGGAAAAATGCATATGTAACTATGTGTGCCTTCCAACAATTTCAATTAATCGAAGATAACAGAAATTTCTCGGGGGGCAGAGAAAAACTGTATAAGGCTGAGGAGAGTATCATTTTTGTTTTTAGTCCAGAATACACAGAGAGAACTGTGCAAGCTTCGCATTTGATACTTCCTTTTATATTGTTTTGAATTTAACATTCTTAGTAATTTTAAGTGGTAACTACTGACTGTGCTCAATCATACTGAGAACAGCTGTACTAATACTTTAGGGAAAACTTCCAGAACTGTAAAGCGATTCTTTTGAGGAATTCAATTTCATCAATCTATCATCAGTTCAGCATTCATTCAAACCATTACAAAACCATATGTATGCAACAATATTTTAATATAAAAAAAAAAATCTGATGTGTACACCATATCAATTCTTTATACCGAACATTAAATTATATGCATTTTTTATTGCATTTCATTTAAACTTATTGAATTGAATTAAATCTACTTCGTCGATAGAGCATAAAGCACAATAGAATAAATGCACTCTTTAAAATTCACTATATTTGTTTATCATAGTGACACTATGGCACTAGGTTCACTTAATATCGTTACAATTCGTTCATATTGTATCTCAGAATGCACAAAATTTAAATCATTTGAAGAATTATCTAATCATTGTCATATTTCTATTCAAATACTATAATAAATTTTAAAATGATGGGTAAAGGAAATTAAACAAATGAAACAAAAAAGAAACAATTTTTCACAGACGATTCAGTATTTCTCATTCAATTAATTCAGTTCTCACTTCACGACAAGGCAAAAATACATAAAAACTCAAAATATTTATATTAAAAATTACAAAGTAAATCTTACTTATCTAACACTTATTTCGTCGAATAAATTCTAGAATGGATTAAGCACGATTTAATTCACAATAATAAAAGAAGGCATTATCTTTGTTGTTACGAAGCTTAGTTTCTCTAGATTGGCAACAAATCTGCTATTCTGTCAAGTTTCAAATGTAAACAAACATGGCGGTCATAGCAAAAGTAATTAGGCTTAGCCGCATTTAAAGAACTTTTAAATTGTTGATAATTCTACAAATATTGCATGCAGATTTACTAAAGGTATAAAAATCTTAGCTGGAAGATAAGAACAACATAATTCAATCATTTTTAAAGCAAAAAATGAACAATTTACAAACATATTAGAGTATAGAAACTGAGAGGAATAACAGAGTGGATATATATATATATATATATATACACAGTACAAAGTCTAAAATCCGGACTTTAAAACCACCACCAACGTTTTCTCATAGGCTTTACGCATGCGCATTTGATTCCCCCCTACGCATAATAAAACATCTGAAGAGTCCTGATTCTTAATTTCACTTCGACACTAAATAAAATACCTTGTTATTGAAGAACCAATCGTTTAAGCCTAAATTTGTATGATCAGTAATTTGGCTCTGTTGCTGCATATCTGCTTGGCATACATCTCAAATCAAAACATTCCACACAGATACATCGTTGATCTGACACCAACCTGACGAATCATTATTTATTATACTTTCTTTTCTTTTCATTACCGCATGTTTATCAAAATATGACAAATTGAGTAATGACTCGTGTAACGATGCCTACACAATTTTTTATGCTAGTAATTGAATAATAAAGGAGTGGGGTAACCTTTTATCTTGACATTACGCTTGGTGATGATTACAGATTAAAGATAAATACGCTAAAAAGTGTTGACGAGGAAACATTTACCAAAAATTTCTTTGCATATGCTAAAAATAGATTTTGTTAATGATGCTCATAGGCCCAAAGATTACATTTAGGGCTATTTGAAATAAGAATAACTAATTTGCTATTATTCACATAAACCCAGAACCAGCGCCAGGGCTTGTATGGCCGCATTCAATCGCAGAATTTAGGACCCACAGAGACTACAACAGGTGGATCTAGCGCCAGATATCTAGCGCCGGCGCTCAATAAGGCTTAAACATATGGTGAGAATTTATTTATTCAGAACTCTGATAAGCCTTAACCCTTTGACGCGCGGTCGTCGCGCCCTGAAACCACCAACTTTCGAATTTTTTTCTCCTCTTCTTACCGAAATTATTGAGTGAAAATCGATTGCTTACTGATCTTTTACCTTTAAATAACACAAAATGACTGCAGAATCATACATGTTTTAGGTCTTAGTACTGCAAATTGGATGCCTTTTAAAATGCATTTTCAATGAGACAAAATAACTTCCTTTTATTAATATAAACAACTTTAAATTTCAAAAGTTATTCATCGCACATTATGATTTCTATCATTAACAATAAAAAATAGCAATAATTAAACTGCATATATAAAAAAAGTCCTCTATATGTATGGCATTTGCTTTGTGGTTTTCAGGGCGCGACCACTGCGCCACTAGAGCATTGTGATACATTCTTTTCCGGAGACTTTTTGCTGACCTCAACACACTTGCACCCCAAGCTAGTATTGTGATTTTATAAATTATTTCCTGTGGTTTAAAT